AAGCACTTTTTGTGAGGCATTTATTTAATTGAGTTCTTTCACTATATTCCACCACTGTCTTTGGTCCCTTAGGGTTTCATTGGATAGGTCTGCTGTGAATCTTAAGAATGCTCCTTTGTAAGCAATTTCTTTCTTTGATTTATCTGTCTATGGTTTTCTTCATTCTGATCAGGATGTGCCTTGGAGTATTTTTATTTGGATTTATTTTAGCTGGTACCCTTTGGGCCTCCTGAATCTGATTGCTCTTCAGCTCTGGGTAAGTCTCAGCAATGATGTCCTTTGACAGTTTCTTCTTCATCAGGGCTTTCTTCCTGTTTCTCTGGGATTCCAATAATTCTTATTATTCCTCTTGGCTTCATCCTGATTTTCTCTTGACATCTATTGGTTTATTTTGAGACTTTTTTTTAATTTTCTGCTCTTTCCTGGAGATTCTTTGCACCTCATCTTGTAGTTCACTGATTCTGTCCTCAGCAGTTGTTACTCTGTTGCTGAGGCCTTGCACTGAGTTTTTTATTTCACCTACCAAGTTTTTTAGGTCAGCCATTTCTGCTTGTATTTTTGTTTGCATTTTCCTCACTTCTGCTCTCATATCCTCTTATATTTTATCATCAGTGTGTTCCATTGCTTCTTTGAGATTCTTATATATACTTAAAAGCTCCATTTGAAAAATTCCTTATCTGACAGGTTTTATAGTTCATTATTCCTTATCTGACAGGTTTTATAGTTCATTATTTGGCTGCGTGCAAGGCAGACGCCCTACCCGCTGTGCTAGGCTGGAGCGATAGCACAGCGGGTAGGGCATTCGCCTTACAAGCGGCCAACATGGCCGACCCGAGTTTGATTCCTCCGCCCCTCTCGGAGAGCCCAGCAAGCTACCGAGAGTATTCGATATGCCAGACACAGTAACAACAAAGTCTCCAATGGAGACGTTACTGGGCCCGCTCGAGCAAATCGACGATCAACGGGAGGGCCTTTATTTACCTTTACCTTTACCTTATTACTGTTTAATTCATCTGGCCTAACAACTTCAATCATTAAGCCTGGTGAGTTTCTGTATTGTTTTACCACTGTGACCTTTGCGTTTTAGAGGTGTGTGTGTGTTTTTTTTTTAAAAATCGTGTTGCTGTATGTGTTTGCCCCTGCAATTGGACTATCTTTGTGTGTTACCATGGTATATTGATAGGTAAAGATATGTGAGACCTGGGTTAAGTAGTGCCTAATATGTGGGGTGTAGTCACAGTAATTTCTTCATGCAGATGATTCACATCTGTGTGGTTAGAGATTTTAAGGTATGCTGTGATGGGTAGATACAGGGAGGCGACACTAGGGGTCCATACACCTGTTGGAGGAGTGGGTTTGTCTTTCTGGTGGCAGTGGCTGGCAGGGGAGGGCGGTTCCTAGCAAGATGCTGGGGACAGGTTCCTAGCGAGATGCTGGCGACAGGCACTTCCCTTCAAGTGTGGGGGATGGGGTGCTAGGGTTGAGGCGGATGACTGGGTGCAGCCAGCAGGACAAACAGACCTGTTAGAGGAGCAAGTTCCATGCTCTGGGGGGCAGCGCTGGCAGGGGAGGGTGGTTCCAGGCAAGATGCTTACTTTCAAGTGGGGGCCAGGCCAATGTCTATTTTAAGAGAAAAAAATCTACATATTTTGTTTTTAATATTTTTCTTAATCTTTATTGAGGTACTATTTATAATATTGTTAATGCTGGTTTTGTGCCTACACGATTCCAATACCACACCATCACCAGAGTGCCCACTTCCTTCTACCAAGTTCCCAAAGACGTTTCCTCACATTTAAACACCCCATCCTCACCTCTAATTATAAACACTGTCTGTGGACCAACTTACCAGTTCTGTTGAATTTGGCCATTAGTTTCTCCCTTATTGTATATCTTTAAATTACACACATGAAGGAGATCATTCTAGTGTATATCTTTAAATTACATTCTATTGTATATCTTTAAATTACACACATGAAGGAGATCATGCTTTCTTTTTGACCGACTTCACTCAGCATGACACTCCCTAGTTCCATGTATGTTGCAATATATTGCTTGATTCTGTCCTTACAGCTGCATAGTATTCTACTGTGTATAAATACCAAAAATTCTTTATCCACCCATTCATAGTTGGACATTTAGATTGCTTTCATATCATGGGTATTGTACTAATGCCTCAACGAATACAGGTGTGGATAAATCCATTTGTTTTTTGTGTTTTAGTGATAGGTTCCAAGGAGTGGTATTGCTGTGCTGTATGGGATTCCTGGTATTCCTTTTTTATCCGTTTGAAAAACTACTATATTGCTTTCCAAAGAAGTTGACGAGACTATATTTCCACCAACAGTGAATGAGGGCTCATTTCTCACCCAAACCCCACCAACACTGACTGTTTTTAGAATTTTTGACATATGCCATTCTCATTGGTGTGAAATGATATCTCATATATATGTTTGAAGAGCTTTATATTAAAGCATTTTTATTACACCTAAGGTAATTTGGTAGCAATAGAGTTTATGCTAATGTTTATAGCGTGCTTAATGATACCAACCCTAAAGTGCCTGAGATAAGAAGTCCCACTTACCTCCCACCACTGTTCTCATATCATTTCTAGTTTATTCATTCCTCCCTTCATTTTCTTTTTCACTTTCTCCCACTTAGTAATTTCAGTTTTGTATTTGGTTGAAGTATTTAAATACGGACCATTTTGTAACTTTGTTTCTCTATGAGTGAGATCTATCAGTGAGATAATCCTGTGTTTGTCATTCTCTCTCTAACATACTTTGTTTAAAAGGAGATCCACCCCTCATAGCAAAAGGCAAGATTTTATATTCTCTTATACAGAAGTAGTAATTCATTGTGTGTATAAGCTATAACCACCTCTTCCTCTTCCTTCTCCTCCTCCTTCTTCCTTCCTTCCTTCCTTCCTTCCTTCCTTCCTTCCTTCCTTCCTTCCTTCCTTCCTTCCTCCTCCTCCTCCTCCTTCTCTTCTTCTTCTTCTTCTTCTTCTTCTTCTTCTTCTTCTTCTTCTTCTTCTTCTTCTTCTTCTTCTTCTTCCTCCTTCACCTTCTTCTTCCATCTTCCTTCTTTTTTTCTTTTCTTGTACATCAGGATTTACTCCTGGATCTATGCTCAGGGATCATTTTTGCCAGGGCTTGAAGGACCATATGGGGTGCCAGAGTTGGAACCTGGATTGGCTATGTGCAAGGTAAGTCCCTTACCCAGTGTACTCTCTCTATCCCCTACCATATTTTTTATTCACTTATCTGTTGTTGAATTTTAATAACCCTGTTTTTAAAACAGATATTCAAAAAAAGTTAGAGCAGGCTATAAGTAGAACAATTCTTTGCAAGTGCTTCTTGAACATGCAGTGGAGCTGAAATATCTATTTTGTCTGCACTCAGTAAATTAAGCAGGTGAAGTTTGTTTACTGGATATTTGCATGAAAGTATATGGCTTTTACTATAAAGATGAATTCAAACTGCAATGTAGTTGACATGCTGTAAATCATAATGTATTGAAAGAAACCACTGAAAAGATGTAGGATTCTGACACAGTTCAGTGGTAGAGTGACTACAAGTCAGATGTGAGGCTGGAGAAGTTTGATATTCACACCATCTGAGATGCCATCTGAGTGATTCTACTGTTGTGGATTTCCATACCTCAGCAAAGAATTCTGTTGCCTATCAAAGTGTGTGAGCACTGAAGCCAAACTGTGTGAGTATAACACTGTTTCTTTTTCTAGTTATTATAATAAAAAAAGAGAGGGGCAAGTAAAAGATTAATAATTTTAAAATCACTGTAGCTGGGGGTGAAGTCTAGTAATCATGTTACAGAATACATGTTCTGTCACGTGACAGAGAGCACTAGATCCAACAATGTTTAGGGTCGAGAGCTCAGAGTAGGGCAGCCAGAAACTGTATATTCCTTTGTGGTTGTGAAGATCTGGCCAGAGACTCCTTTGCTTTCTAGATTCTTTTTTTCTTTTGTTGGATTTCAAGTCAACTTGTTGACTCCCTTCACTTTTGTTTTCTTACAGGTTTTGTAAGGAAGCAATTCTGGAACCTGAAAAACAAACAGGTAGATTTGCAAAAGGAGAAGGTCGACTGTAAAATGACTATTCTTTATCACTACTGTTTGTGCATTTTAACAGACACCACTGGATTATAGCCACAATAAGTGAGAAAGATAACGAAGGACATGTGGTGTCATAATCTAAACTAAGGGAAATTATTATAAACACTCAAAAACAATGGCCCTCAAAGAGGGGCAGACTTAAACTTCCTAGGACTCAGTGTTAGTATTACTTGGGGGAAGGGCGTTGCCCAAAATCAAATACAAAAATGAACATCGCAAAGTGAAAATGAAATGTGACTGGAACTTTGGAAAACCAGATACTTTCTAGAGTCACTTTAGATTATTGCTAGAAATCTTCGTTCGAAGTGACCGCTGATGGCAATCCCAGCTTTTCCTCTGCCCCTACAGCACTCACGCGGCCCAGACGTTACCCCTCACTGGCAGTATGCTCTGCCAGCAAGAACTTTCCTCGGTTGCTTTCCTTATTCTGTTGGAGCAATCTGGACTCAGCGTAACACAAGTAACAAACACTTGCCACTTGATGCTTCTCCTTTCACCTGAACTAAAACCTCACTCATCCACCACCTCTTTGTGTCTCGATCTCGCAGCTCGGACCAATCCTGCTTTCGCTCGTTCGCGGTCCCTGGCCATCGTCCAGCCGGCTCCCGGCCCTCTACCCCACCGCCCCGCGGCCCGGAGCCGGGGTTGGGGGCTGCGCGCGGGCGGCGCCTCGCGCCGATTGGCCAGCGTGGGGCGGGGGGCGGGCTTTCCCGGGCTGGCCGGCCGCTGGCTGAGGGTTCGCGCGGCGTCCGGTCCCCGCTGTGCGCCCGCCGAGCGCGAGCTGAGGAGACGCGCCGAGGCGGCCGCGGGCGCCGGGAGCTGCCGAGCTGCAGGGCGATGCGGCCGCGACTCCGGGGGCGGCGGCCGTCGGTGTGGCGCGGCGGGCGGGCGCGGCGCGCGGGCTGCGGCGGTCGGGGCTGCTGAGGCGCCGCGCGGGCCGAGTCATGCGGGCGGCCGAGTGGCTGCCGGGGCTGCTCTGGCAGCTCGCGCTCTGGGTCGGCGGCTCGTGGGCGGTCCGCTTCCACCCGCGACAAGGTACCGGCCGGCCGGGCGCCCGCGGGCGGCGCCTCAGCGCGCCGGGGAAGGGGTTCGAGGAGCCCCGCGCGCGGGAAGCGGAGAGGCGCGCGGGGGTGTGAGGCGCAAGTGAGCGGGTCGCTTGGGACGCGAGGCGCGCGGGGGCTTGAGGCGCCGTGAGCTGGTCGCGTGGGGGCGTGGGGCGCGCCGGGGCGTGAGGCGCGGGGCGCGCGGGTCTCGGGCCACACGCGCCCGGGCGTCGCGGACTCCAGACCGCGGGCGTCCGGGAAGCCCCTTCAAGGGCGTCGCGCGGTCCAGCCCCTGGGCGTCGGTGAAGCCCCCTCAGGACGTCGCGGACTCTAGACCGCGGGCGCCGGTGAAATACCCTCAGGGCGTCGCGCGCTCCAGCCCGCGGGCGTCGGTGAAGCCCCCTCAGGGCGTCGCGCACTTCTGCCCGCGGTCGTCGGTGATGCCCCCCTCAGGGCGTCGGTGAAGCCCCCTTGGCGTCGTGGACTCCCGACCGCGGGCGTCGGCGAGGCAGGGCGGCGCGGCGAGGGGCGGCTGCCCACGCCGACTCTTTGTGTTCGCAGAAGCCCTGGTGAGGACGCTGGCCTCCTACGAGGTGGTGACCCCCGCGCGGGTCAACGAGTTCGGCGAAGCCTTCCCGGCGAGCCTCCACTTCAGCCGGCGGCGGCGCAGCGCGGCGGCGCCCGAGCCCGCTCCCGCGCGCACCCACTACCGCATCGACGCCTTCGGGCAGCTCTTCCAGCTGAGCCTGAGCGCCGACGCCGCCTTCCTGGGCGCCGCCTTCTCCGAGGAGCACCTGGGGGCGCCGGCGCCCGCGCCGCCCGCCGACCTGCGCCACTGCTTCTACCGCGGCCGCGTCAACGCGCAGGAGGAGCTCACGGCCGTCTTCAGCGTCTGCGGGGGTCTGGTGAGCGCCCGCGCGCGCCCCGGGGCGGCCAGGGGTAGGGCTGCGGGTGGGCGAGGTCAGGGTGGCCCGGGAGGGAGACCTCGGCAGGCCTCCTCCGGGTGGACATCCCTGCGGACGGGAGAGCCACCATGCCCGCGCCCTCGGGGTGGAGAGTTTCTGGGAGTGTCAGTGAGATACTGGGCGTTTGCATCAGGACGCTGAGGGGAGTGTGAGGGGATTGCGACTCCAACCTGAGGGCCAGTGCTTTTGTTCAGAAACACACGTTCCGGACCACCTGCTGAGTCAGAATCCCAGAAGACCTGTGGATTTCCTTAAAGTTGCTCTTATTTTGCATTGAGAAAAAAAAGAATGAATGTAAAATGAATAGGTTTAACCAGAAGACGTTGTTTTTGATAAGTAGTATAGGGGTGATCATTAATTCATGGTCATCGGGTGGAATAGGGAAAACGTTGGATCTGTTCGAAACTTTGTATTTAGAAATATATACGCAGGGGCTGGGGAGATGGTGCAGTGGGTAGGGCTTCTGTCTTACACATGCCTGATCTGGGCTCCGTATCCTGCAGCCCACGTGGGCTCTCTAGCCTCTCCAGTAAGTACTAGGCCCTGTGCTCACCCCACCCACCCCCAATCAAACAAAAAGGGACGATCTCCAAGGATCTGTAGCCAATAAGTAAAAATGATCATTGGAATTGTAAGAGTAAACTTTACTCTGGAGAGATGAAATGCAATAAAGTAGTGAAAGACTGTTTCATTTGTTTCTCCCTTCAAAACTATTCTAAATAATTTCGTTTTTCCTTCAGCCTTCCGGGGAACCCCAAACTCTTCTCAGCATAATTTTTAAGCATCTAAGATAACATGGAAGTGATTTAATTGACTTTTTAAAAACATTGACATTAATCAAAATATTACTTAACTAGTAGGTGATGTTCTATACTTAATACATTAAATACAGTTTAAGGAGAAAGGGTTGTATTTATTACTATACATGGAGTGACACTGAGTACAAACAACCCATATGAGAAAGTAATTTTTTATTGGTAACAGGGCTACAATGTTTATGGATTTAACCACAATTATAGTTGAAGGAAATGTTAAGTATCAGATAAATGTTAGTGAAAATAAAGATGCTAGAGAAAATGTAACTTTCCTTTCAAGTTCTGGTCAAATATGTTTTATCGACTTACTATTTGTGATACTGTTTTGGCATATCAAATATCTCGCGAGTAGTTTGCCAGGCTTTGCCTGAGGTAACAAGTCTCACAATGGAGACATTACTGGTACCCGCTCAGCAAATCGATGAACAACTGTAGTAGAGCTACAGTGCTACTATTTGTGATGGCAGGGAAACATTCCAGATGAGAAACATTTCTGAGTGATTTTTTTGTTCATACCGTATGATTATATTGGCTGCTATTATTTGAAACTAAGAAGCACTTGAAAAGGTTTTAGACTCTAATAGGAGTTTTATCTGTTCCTATCACTGTCAATTTTGATTAAGTTGTCATAAATTTTTATACATGCACTTTCCTTTTGATAGTTCATTGATAGCCAGTTTAAATTTCAAGTATTTTAATTTAACACTAAAACATATCTATATAACTCAGTTTTTTAAATTTTTTTTATTAAAAAAATTTTTGATAGTGAGACATCATGAGGTACAGTTGCAGACTTACACATTTTTGTGCTTGGGTTTCAATTATACAATGATCAAATACCATCCCTCCACCAGTGCCCACTTCCCACTACCATGGATCCCAGTATCCCTCCCACCCCCCATCCCCCCCATCCCACCCTGTCTCTGTGGCAGGGCATTCCCCTCTGTTCTCTCTCTCCTTTTGGGTGTTGTGGTTTGCAAAAGAAACATTGAATGGTAATCATGTTTGGTCTATAGTCTACTTTCAGCATGCTTCTCCCATCCTGGGAGGATCCTCCCAACACCTTTATTTGGTGTTCCCCTCTTTATCTGAGCTCCCTTTTCCCCTAGTATGTGTGGCTGGCCTCCAAGTCATGGAGTAAAATTCCTGGTACTAATCTCGGCCATTCTTGGGTGTTAGTTTCCTATTTTGTTACTTTATGTTCCCCAGATGAATGCAATCTTTCTATGTCTATCCCTTTCTTTCTGAGTCATTTCGCTTAACATGATACTTCCCATGTAGTACCACTTGTATGTAAACTTCGTGACTTCGTCTTTTCTAACAGCTACATAGTACTCCATTGTGTAAATGTACCAAAGTTTCTTTAACCAGTCATCTGTTCTCAGGCACTCAGGTTTTTTCCAGATTCTGGCTATTGTAAAGAGTGCTGCAATAAACAGGCAATTGCAGATGTCACTTCAACTATACTTTTTTGCCTCTCTGGGATATATTCCGAGGAGTGGTATTGCTGGATCAAATGGGAGCTCAATTTCTAATTTTTTGAGAATCATCCATACTGTTTTCCAAAAGGGCTGAACCAGTCGGCATTCCCACCAACAGTGAAGGAGTGTCCCTTTCTCACCACATCCGCGCCAGCACTGGTTGCTTTTGTTCTTGTGGATATGGGCCAGTCTCTGTGGTGTGAAGTGATATCTCATTGTGGTTTTGATCTGCATCTCTCTGATGATTAATGATGTGGAACATTTTCTCATGTGCCTTTTAGCCATTCGGATTTCTTCTTTGTGAAAGTTTCTATTCATTTCATCTCTCCATTTTTTGATGGGGTTGAATGTTTTCTTTTTGTGGAATTGAACCAGTACTTTTTATATAACTCAGTTTTATCCTAATTTCCTAGTATTTGTAAAATTACATTGAGGATATTAGTCTTGATTGAGATAGAAAACTTTTAGGATTCTCTGTCTTTTCTCTCCTGCGAGCAGCTTTCCTACCTTAAACCATCTCCCCGAAAAGTGCTTGCCTGTGCCAAATTTGTCTGCACCCCTTCTTTGGTCAGGAGCAGTTCTCAGTTCCTTGGCATAGCACTGTCTGCTGTGTGCTGAAATAATCAGAGACTAACACCTCAGCAACTTGGCAGCCTGTATCCCCTGACCTTACTTCTTCCTAATCATAGTTTCCAAGCCAGTGCCATTTCTAGGCACATTTACACAGCAGCCAAGTAGTAATTATTTCTCCCATGTCTTTTCTGCCTTGTACATTCCTTTTCTTGAATTTCTTCAAGGCAGGCTGGGGAAGATGGTTGACTCAGAGTTTGAGAGAGGGAAGAAATAATACTATATTAATAAAACAAAAATTTTTAGTCATACAGTGAATAATTAGATATTCCAGAATCTAAGAATTTCTTTCATTATTAGTACTGTCATGACCTTATAAGCCTAAATTATTTATAAGACTGATGGCATTTGATTTTTCTTTTTTGCAATTTTGGCACTTAAGCAGAAAGTATTAACTGTATTTATGATTATGTCTTTGGCTTTTGCTATCATGAACTTTCTTTGCTATCATGAACTTTTGATATTGTGAACTTTCTTTGGAATACAGTTTAATAAAAGAGTGGAATATAGATTTTAAGAGTCTGTCATAACTTTTATTTTTATTCTCAGATTAGAATTTAATCTTTAGGTTCAGATAAAATATTTTTGTACCCACAACCTGGACCATTTGAGTTGTTTGCATATATATTTTCCTGATGCAAAGCCAAGGAAGTGAATTATGTTAGTTTTTTGACTATACTCCTACTTATTTTCTGATTAACCTATAGTACCATCTATTGTCTGTGATGATTTAGCTTTTACCTCTGTCACTCCATTGTACACTAAAGTTGAGGTTTACTAAAGGATTTTAAAAGCCAGTCTAAATAAAAACAAAAAGTTCTTTTTAAGTTTCTTTTGCATTTAGTTTTGTTTTTAATCAGGAATGGATAATTAGACTTTATCAAATGCTTTTCATGAGTATGTGAAAAGAAATCTTATTTTTTTTCTGCTTTCAAGCATCTGTTGATTGTTGATGAAAATTGGCCATACACAAGGCTCTAGATTGTTCAGAGGTCTTTGTATTGTTTGGGAGGAAGTAGAGAAATAGAACTATCCTATAGTCTCTGATGTTCCTGTACCTTCCTGGAACCAACAGTTGAATTCTGGGACTGAAAAGGACTTTCTTCTCTTTGCTGTTTTGGGGCTCACTGGTCTTGTTTGCTGACTTATCCCTTTGGAACTCTCAGTGGTACTGCATTTCCCTCCGATTCCATTTGATTTCTTGTTTGGCTGACACATTGTGTAGTTCTTAGACTTAAGGTCACTTTGTTCCTGTCAAATTACCCTGCCCTTTTAAGGTGATTTGATGATGACATTGGTGATCTTCCAGACCCTTCAAAGAGCTTAACCCAACATAGCTTCTGAAAATCAAGGGGACTCAGTTCCTTTTCTTTGCCACTCACATCTAATTTTAGTATGTGTATGGAAGCCCTTCAGAATCTCTTTGAATTTCATATGACATGCTGCAGCACTTCCCTTGGCAGTTCCCCCAATATATCACACCTCTGTCTCTAGAAACTTAGCCCTCAGTGAAGTAATTAGTACATGCCTTTTTCCATCTGTTTCCTCCCACCTCCATTACTCTTCTTGGAATGTATTGAGTTTGTCCATTCACATCTCATTTACTTGGATCATTTTCTTTCCGTCTTCCCCTTTGTGGTAGCATCCAACCTTCTTTTTCTCTTATAGTGGAGGAATGTGACTCTTTGAAGTGAAAATTCAAATATTATTTAAATGTTTTTTATTACTATATATATAACCATTAAAAATTGGCATACCAAATATTGATTGTGTTTAGTTACCGGTACTGCATTAATCTCAGATATGTGAACACTAATGTTTTAAATACCTATGGATAGTTTTTTCCACTTTTAATTATACATGTTTCTTTTGGCTAGTATTGTTTAATTTTTTTTTATTTTTTAAATTTTATTTTTATAAAGTTGTTCACAATAATTTATTACATTCAATATTCCAGCACCAATCCCACCACCATTACAAACCATTCACTGCCATTATTTTGAATTTTACCACC